GGAGCACTTTGAATGTGCAAATTGCCTACATTTGTCCCATATTTGCGTGTCCCCCGTGCCTGGTTCTTGACTTTAAATCGATGTTGCAGCATAACTAGAGTGATTATTTAAGAAAACTTTATCGGAGATGATAGGTAATGCTTTTTAATTTGAGAAAAAAAATATGTCAATTTCTTTTTTGCTCCATCAATAACTTTTTCACTTGCTAGAATCATTGTCCCGAGCAACAGTCAGCAACTGTCAGGAGAGACATGGCAAAGATATAATAAGCTCTGAATGATTGCCGTAACGTTGAGGTTTTTCCAAAAACGACTTTTTTTGTTTTGATTGAATAGTTCACACGTCGTAGATGGCAATAATTCTGAAATTCGCAAATTTTTGTGCAAGATTAACGCCATTGACGACGCCAAACAAAATGCTATACAAGATAACTAACAGGCCGTCAAGCATACACACCCACACACACACACACTAATATAAGCTCTTAAAATACTTTCGAAGTGTGCGTTAGGGAAAATTTTCTCTTGTTCCGATCCTCTAGGATGTGCTACTAAATATTCCGTGAAAAAAAACACCAAAAATTGTCTTTACTGTTAGAGATAAGCTTAAAAAACAGCTTATTCCGTCCTTTCCCGTTCCATCCTGTCCCATGTCCCAGTTTAGTGGGACAGAGTGGAAAACTTTTACAACTGACAATGACACTTGCTTATTGAAGCCCTGTAGGCGCTCTTTCCTACCGATTTAAGTGAAACTTGGTACTGGGGGGGTATTTTTCGATGGGGAACTCGAATTTTAGTCGAATTTTGAAAATTCAAAAATCCAAGATGGCGGACATTGCCTAAAATGCTATCTCAGCGCCTAATCAGCTGAGGCTTGTTTGTTTAAGCCCTGTAGGCGCACTTTTCGACCGATTTAAGTGAAACTTAGTATCCGAGGGTATTTTTCAATGGGAAACTCGAATTTTTAGTCGAATTTTGAAAATTCGAAAATCCAAGATGGCGGACATGGCCTAAAATGCTATCTCAGCGCCTAATCAATCGATTTACGCGAAACTTGGTACCCGAAGGTATTTTTGAATGGGAAACTCGAATTTTTAGTCGAATTTTCAAAATTCGAAAATCCAAGATGGCGGACGTTGCCTAAAATGCTATCTCAGCACCTAATCAGTCGATTAAGGTGAAACTTGGTAACCGGCGGTATTTTTCTATGGGAAACTCGAATTTTTAGTCGAATTTTCAAAATTCGAAAATCCAAGATGGCGGACGTTGCCTAAAATGCTATCTCAGCACCTAATCAGTCGATTAAAGTCAAACTTGGTACCCGGCGGTATTTTTCAATGGGAAACTTGAATTTTTAGTCGAATTTTCAAAATTCGAAAATCCAAGATGGCGGACATGGCCTATAATGCTATTACAGCGCCTACTCAATCGGTTTACGCGAAACTTGGTACCCGCGGGTATTTTTGAATGAGGAACTCGAATTTCAGTCAAATTTCCAAGATTCGAAAATCTAAGGTGGTGGCCGTGGCTTAAAACACTATCTCGGTAACTAATTAATTGATTTTAATGAAACTGGACCGGAAAACCTTGGCATTAGGAAAAGAAAGGAAATTTTATTAGGGGTGCAATACACGGTTTCTTATGTATCTTAGGCTACGAAATCGAAAAATTCCTAGGTTTTTTCCATCGTGCACAGATTCTCCCGGAAGATTGACTCTGCTGGAAAAGCTAGATTTTTATGGAAAATTCCGATTTCTCCGGAATAATTCCGAACTTTCCCGGGATAAGTCGCACTGATACAGGTAAATGGAGGTGATCTTCGGAATCAGCGCCAAAAATCTACTCCGAAACCGTTGGCAAATCTTTGGAAAATCAAAAAAAAAAAAAAAAAAAAAAAAAAAAAAAAAAAAAAAAAAAANAAAAAAAAAAAAAAAAAACGTTGACCAGTGTAATTGATACGTTAATGCAACTCCTCAAACTTTTCCTGACTTTACCTCCACTTCAGCGGGTACACGCCCACTTGAAGTTTTAAAATTCGATGTTTTTTATCAATTTTGTATTGCAATATTCCAAGAAATAAAAGCTTCTTCTCGTGTTAAAGGAAAATAGGAGGCATTTTGATAAACAGACGGAACTGTCTAAAAGCATAGCAGAATAAGCTTCAGATATCTTTCATGATGGATGAATTTTTTTGGTTTTGTAAGATATGAAAGAGTTACATGTTTTCAATTATGCTTTAATTTAGTGCTCGACGATGCTTTTATGACAATTGCGTTCAATTTTCAATTAAAAGTATTATACGTCACCTCTGAGATGAAAATTTGGGAAATCAGGCAAAATTAGAGCAAATTTTGGGAAGTGATACACGTGACGGTGGAAATTCGGGTTTAAGCATAACTATTAAGCTCGACGAGCTATATTTCCTAAGTCTATACCTAATGAGAGTCAAAATAAAGTTTGGTTCGCCCAAAAATTCACAAAAAAATTTTGGGAGGAAATTGAACCTGGAATTTGACCCTTATTTGAATTTACCCACCTATCATCCGACTGCAAGTTCCGTTTCATCAGGATGTCCCGTAAAAATAACAATCGGAAAGTCAATGACATAAGTGTTGATTTAAACTTTGGAGAAGGAGAAGGGATCGATGTTTGTGGTTGACAACCCTAGCGATTATCAAACGCGCGCGTTTCTTAAACGCGGACGTTTTCTAAACGCTTACGTTTCTGGAACGCGTACGTTTTCTAAACCCGTACGTTTTCTAAACGCGAACTGTTTTAAACTGTAACAGTAAATTTACACACACAAAAAAAAAAAAAAATTGATTCATCAAACTGAACATTGCAATATCCAATCCCAGTTGCTCATCCCAAAACATAAGGTTCCGATACGCATCTCCAAGCGCACACTACTAAAAATGGAAATTCCCGAATCAGACCCTACACTCCAGTCTCCGATACCAGGCCCATACTGTAAGATATGGTCTATCATGGATACCGCCAAAATTTTACAAGTCCGAAATCTCGAAAACAAAAAGTCGTATCAAAATTCGGTCCGTACAGTTCTCGAATCCGATCTTCGATAGTGTAAAAGAATCGCATCGGTCCGCGGCGGATCGGAGGGGGGTCTGATTCCGAAAATTTTTCTAATTTCCCAAATCAGACCCTACTCTCCAGTCTCCGATACCAGACCCATACTCGAGGAGACGGTCTTTCGATGCCGAAAATTTTTACAAGTCCGAAAATCCGAATTTTTTGAACAATCTGACAACATCGTTTCGAAAAATTAACTACTTTCTTGAACCATCTGGCAACACTGTAAAATTCGATGTTGCAAAATTTCACCCATAAATAAATCATTTATTCATGCGCACCGTCCGGCAACGTTGTAACCGCCATCTTGAGAAATACACCATTGCATAAACCGCAGATTGAAGGGGCTACATTACACCATTGCATAACCCGCATATTGAAGGGGCAAAATGCAATACTTTTTTTACAGCGTTGCCATATTGGATCATAATCACCATACAACACTGTAATTTAATTCGTATTTTTCTGCACCATCATGCAACGCTGTTGGATAATTTACTGGCCTCAAGTCGCCATTTTACCCTACTGGAGACGGTACAAGAAGAAGTACATGAAGAAGAAGGAGAAGAAAAAGAAAATAAAGAAAGTGGAAGAAAAAGAAATAGACCCTGATAAAAATTTCCCCTAGGAATGGACGCGGGATCACATGTGCCCCTCTGGGGAATGGACAGGAAAGCCCCAGTGCACCCACGGGAGTCTGAAGATCTTCAGCCCCGTCCCTCCGTCCCCGCGCGTCCCGTAGCTTAAAAGGTTCTGTTGGCGGACTTCAAGCTTCTCGGTTGGTTTTTTTTATTTTATTTATTTTTCAATCACTTTTATTTACTAGGCAAGGAAAAGAAGAAGGAGATAAGGAGGTGCAAGATGAGAAATAAGAAGAAATAATACAGGCGGAAGAAAAATAAGAGACGCGAAGAGAGGAAGAAGGAGAGGTCAACGGAAAAGAACAGGAGAGAGGAGTGTAAAAGTAAGAAGAAAGAGAAGAAAAGGAAATGGAAGAATAAAGAAGAAATTGGGAAGAAGATGGAGGGGAGGAGAAAGAAGAAGGAGAAGGAAGAAGAAAATGAAGATGAAAAAGAAGAAGGAGACGAAGAGAGAGAAGAAGAAGACAAATATGCAGAAGAAGAAGACGAAGAAGCAGAAGATGACGAAGAAGAAGAATCCGTCGTCTCATAGTAATACTTTCCAGCCCAAGTGAGGCGGCTTGGCGAGACTGGCGGCTCGCGTAGCGAGCTAATCACGGCTAGCTAGTGCTATATAACTTGCTTGTCCGGAACATATCGATTAGTTACTGGAAGATTCACATCTTAAACAAACAATTATAGAAGCGCAACGAATTCTAAATCATGAAAATACCTAATAAGAAATGAGAAAACATACTTAAAAAAATATAATTTTTTCATCATACATCCTGCAATATTTTGAAATATCATATTACCTAACAGGTACATTGTTATCTAAAAAAAGAGTTATATTAATCTTCTATTCCAGAAATCAATATACCTATTTCCGTTCATACACGGAAAACACGACTTTATCGTCCACATTTGTGTAGGTCATATCTGAATATGACGAAGACACAATCAAGTAGAAAATAAAAAAAATAAGTAAAATAAGGCTGAAATAAGGTTGTAGGTCTGCAGAGGCATGGCGTTTTGAGCCGCCACATTATTTTCAGCTGCACAAACATTAAAAATTAATAAAAAATTGAGTAATGACCTGATCTCCGTTGTTCTCACGTGGAACAGGAGTTTTTGCTGTTTAACAGCAAAAACTGCTGTCTCATGAACTTCAACAATCAAAACCTGATTCTGCGACATGGACAGTGGACCAATATTAAAAAAGGAAGAAAAAATACTTTCTATTTGATGTGCAATGCCGTGGATAAGAGAAAAAGCACAAGTGCATACTTACGTTGTACCCTAGTCTTATTACTTCCGGCTCTCCTTTCATCCCAGCCTTCCACAGTTTGAAGCCTCCAGTCCAGTAAACTTGGATCGGACGAAGGGATCGGACGAGATCTGAGTTGAGTTGAGACTGGCACATATGTATCGCCTATAAATACAACCTGCGGCAAAAAAATTTAATTCGTTTTACAAATATATGATAAAGATCATATCATAATAGATGTGATGTAAGCAGATGAATGTTCCCAAAGAGAACTGAACATAAATAACTTGGAGGACAAGACGCATGAGTGCAGTTTTTGTTACTTCGAGAGATACTTGTTTAAAGTTTTAAAATTACATGGAGCCTAAACGCGAAAAGAAAATTTATACTCACTATTTGATGCTTAAAAATTTGATTTTAGTAGTAAATGTTTCATGGGATATACTTTAAGGAAACTTATAGTTGAAACCATCGATAGCTCAGTATTTTAAAAAACTGCACTTAATGCGTTTTGTTCTCCAAGCACAGTGCTCCTAAATCTACTTTTGATTGACTTTAACTATAGCTAATCTAACTAGCTATTCGAATCATTAGCTAAAACCGGGATTTTATTCATGCGCAGTCCCTATTTAAAAAAAAAAATCGCGGAAATTACCTTTTTATGCCATTTTTTTCAATATGGTGGCATATGCGCGCCGATTTGCAGTAAGGAAACTTCAAATTCGAATTTATCGACCAAAAGACATTTTAACTTCGTAAAAAAATTGTTAAATGCCCGAATTTCCAGCTAACCTCATTTTAGCTACCAGGCGGCACCAGGCGCCTGCGGAATTTTGGTTATTAAACAGAGTACTTCATTTGATAAGCTTGCACGGTACCCTTTGAATCAACTTTTAATTGACTTTGATTGTAAATAAAAAATCCGAGTTGGTGGTTAGCCGGCAAGGTTGGCCTAGCGGTCAGCGCGTCTGACTCTAGACCAATAGGTCCCGGGTTCGAATCCAGATGGTGGCGACAAATTTTCGCGGAACTGACGTGTGGATCTGCAGAAACAGATTCTACTCGGCCTTAATTCCTGAAAATTTGAAAGCCGGAGCATGGATGTCCCTATCGCCCTGTTGTCTAAGGACATTAAATTTCTGTCTATAGTTGGCTGTAGATCTCTGATAAGAGATGTAAGCCATTAAACCCGCAAAAAAAAAAAAAAAAAGTTGGAGGTTGTAGTGGGCTACCTATTCCCCGATAGGTTTATGGGCGGTTTGGAAATAGATCATCAGAGCTCCTGGAAAAATAATGCCATTTTTGTGTTTCTTAGGGGTAAAATAGCAAAATTGGCTTTGGGGTGACAAATTAAACACCTCCCCCCTCATGCTTGCCTTGATCGATCTAAAATTTTAGTACGTTGTTACCTAGTTTAAAATACAACTTTCATGAAATTTTCATGCCCGTGCAAGTTTTTTCTGCTCCCGTGGCACCGTTGCCAAGTTCCGGACTCCAAAATATCAACTTTGATTATAAAATAAAGGTTCCGAGGTGGGATTTTCTCCAAAGTATTACGAGAAATGTGTAATCCGAGAATTTCCGATTAGGAAAGGCTTATTTACATAATATCCAATTGCGGTGTTGCCAGATTTATGATTTAAAATTCGTCAAAATGACCCGAATCGCGTTCCAACTTCAAGTGCTGGGTTATTTCACTTCGTTCAGAATCGGCTATTGCTTTCGAATTACTATCGGAGATAATGGAGATGTTGCATGTGTGAGGAATTTGCGAGTTGACTGTTGATCCTTATGTAAAAGTTCGCGAGAAACACGATGGGGCCACTAGTTTTCTCTGAAATCAACTCCCAAGCGCAAAAAAGCTCTCAAGTTGAGGCCAAAATGGAGGGGATATCCCACGCTATCCTGAGAGTCCGCCTCTACATCAAGACAAACTCTCCATGCAAAGATAAGGAGCAAATACATTAGCAGGGTCGCCGTGTTTTCAGTTTTGGAGTCCCAAAATAAAGTGGCAGCCCTGTCAATGTATTTGCTTCCTATCTTTGCATGGAGAGTTTGTCTTGATGTAGAGGGGGACTCTCAGGATAGCGTGGGATATTCTCTCCATTTTGTCCTCAACTTGAGAGCTTTTTTTGAGCTTGGAAGTTGATTTCAGAGAAAACCAGTGGCACCATAGTGTTTCTCGCGAGCTTTTGCATAAGAATCAACAGTCAAATCGCACATTCCTCACACATGCAACATCTCCGTTTTCTTTCCATCAGAAGTCTTCTGGATTCGATCCATCCAATCCTCTGTGAGATGAGGACGAATTCGGGGACTTTCAATTAACGTTAATTGAATCGTCGTTACATAATAGTTTCAAGGTATTGGTTGTAACAGAAACAACGTCGATGGGAGGGGNGGGGGGGGGGGGAGAAAGTTCTCAATATCTACTTCTCAATCTAAAATCTACTTGTATATACTGTACTCTACTTGTACTTGGATGTATTTGAATAGCTAGTGTAATTTGGAAAAAGGTGGTGTACACATACGTGCTAGGTGAGCTAGCATCGTGAAAAACTTCGCTTCACATTTCCGAATAGCGTGGTCACGTCAAGACTCCTCAAGCAGCTTCCGGCTAGGTGGGCCGTGCTAACGGACGCGCCTCGGAAACACAAATTGGAGCTTTTTCATGATGCTGCATCTTCCTTGTTATTTGAGCAAAGTCGACCTACACCATTATACGACGATGCTGTACATTCCCTGTTTTTGAGAAAATCTAGCACGTATGTATACACTATTTTCTTACAAATAACATCAGCTATACAAAATATTCATTAAAACCGGATGTTTTTTATGCGTAGCCGCTATTTTGAAAAACTTGCAAAAATGGCCTTTTTAGGCATTTTTCCCTGAAGATGGCAAATGAGCACCAGCGCCTCCTGGGTAGGTAGGTACAAGGAAACTTTAGATTCGGATTTGAGCAGTTCAAGAAACAGAGAGTAAGTAAAATAAATATCCGTGCTCCTGAAATTCCGGCCAGCTTGACCAGGCATCTAGACTAGAGGTTTGCTCCTTGTTGCAGGCATCGCAATTTTGAAAATTTTGCACCATCCCGCAGTTCCCGCAAACTCTTGACAGCGCTTAATGAAGAATGATGAAGTCTCGCAAGTCGCAAGTGGCTGGCAAACTGAGTCACACAGTGGCTCGTGCTGTTCAATTAACTACGCACCGTACAGAATCTGACGAGAATTAGCATCGATTATTCAAATCTAATAATCCGTATTATACAGCTGCTAACGGATTGACTGCTTCCGTCCGCTATTTGATCCTGAGCAGAAGAAGACACAAAGACGAATAATGGCGTCAGATTTAAGGAGTAAGCGAAAGAATTCAAGTTCTGGATTGATAGAAGAAAAAAAGGGGGAGAAAGAGAGAGAGAGAGATGGATAGAAAAAAAAAAACTAGTCACGATAAGTTCGGTTGGATTCCACCAGTGCAAACAAATAATGATGAAGTTGTTTTGATGAACGCTTGTGGAGAAAAATCGTGCATTGGTCATTCTCTCCCCGCTCCGTGCCTGTCCGGCGACGCGACAGCAGCGTAGCGGCAGCGCAGACTGAGGGGCCCTCTTCCCACGCAATCGAAATCCCGTCGGATTTGGACTCATAAAATGCACGTTTTACGATAAGCAGTTTTCGACGACGAGTAAAGTTGGCATCCTGATCGCTCCAGCTCGTCTGTCACACCGCAAGGCACGCCAGAACATAGTTTACGGGCATCGGGTTTGAGGGAATTACGATTTCGTAGTGGACAGCTGGGCGGTAGCGATCCGGATAAAATCTCAGCGGAGGGATCTTGGGGACCTTGAGTAGACCAAGGAACTGTTTTTCGGAGGGTGGAGAGGCACTTTATTAAGGAGGTTCGGAGGGAGAAACAAGACTACGCGCCTAGGCTATCTAGGGAACTACCCCGCTCCAGAAATGTTTTCGGGAGGACATCTGTGGCGCTCAAGGGGAAAAGTCCAAGGATCTCCTCGGGAAAAATGTTGTGTGTCGTGTGTAGCCATATAACATAGTAAATCAGACAGTAAAGTTACTTATGCAGGCCAAACTCTTTGTTTCTCAAGCGGCCGAAGCGTTTAAACTTATTATGCATTCCCGTTAATTTTCTACCTGCCACGAATAATAATCCTGCGAAGTGAGGATACCTTGGTAAAGTCGATCACCATGATATGGTTATGGTTACCCTTTATGATTTGATCGAGAAGACTTCAGCGAACAATTTGATGACAGTTTGGAAACTCCTGGTTCTGGCGAGAAAAACACTACACTTTACACAACTGCAAAGATACATTGCCAAAGAGTCAGTTAAGTCATTTTTGTTTATTGTGTCATTCGAAAGTAGTAAGTGACCGAAGCTTACAGTTTTTTTCCTAAATTTTTTTGATGACTGCAAACGGGAGAGAAGTTTATTCGGAAGTGCCAAAAATTAGGATGGCCTAAAACGGCGTTTGAACTGCGCGCTCATAGGTTCCGCATGTACACGTCACGATCAATATGGCGGCGGAATGCGCAGTGGAAGAATACACGGCGGCGACGCGTTGGCGGTATGTTTTTGTTGGTCAATTGGAGGTTATGTCGGTTACTTTGTTTGAGATTCATATCCATTGTTCTTAATTCTCTAAGCTTTTCAATCAGAATGCGATACAGGTGTATGCAAGGTATGAAACATTCACACAGAACTCACTTAACCTCAAATGAGAAATCGTGATGTCAACAACGGCGGCGTGGCGGTAGTAGGCAGGTTAATTTCGTCGCCGCCATCTTCCCGTTTATGACGCGGAGATGCGGATATTCACGGCGGTCGGTTCAAACACGTTTTCGAGGACCCCTATAAACGAAGCGTCATATCTCCGCGGAGACAATTTTTCGTGAAATTTTAACATGCACATCGTTCTTCTCGTACCAAAACCTGGAAGATCCGACTATTTGCAGGCAAATCCCTCCCGAGCTCAACTGACTCAATGTGGCGACGCTTCTTTCTACTGACTTTTCTCACTGTAAAATCAACATTTCAATTCAAAACGGCAATTTTCTTGAACATCAGAATCTCTTCTTGGCAAATATTGCCAAAGAATCGATGATCAGTACTGATTTATTACCGCAAATAGCTCTTTCGGTTCAAAATCGGGGTTGG